ACAAAGTACTGTACAAAAAACTTTCAGCTCCAATATAAATTGCAAGGATGCAGCAGCATCATACAGCACAACTTTCTTCTTTGCATGCCTCCAACAGTTAGCAAGGTTATGTTCTGAACCAAATATTTCAAAGTTAAAGTAATTTCTTAAATAAGAGAGAACCCAACCACAAACATTTCTCTCTATTCATTACTTCTGTAAGTCAGTTTCTATTTAGGAGCAGTTACCAGGGTAATAGCAATTTCCTACTCATTTAAGAATTGCTAAGCAACCTGCACCAACTAGAAGCAGCAGGTGGCATGTCGAAATAGGCTATTTCGGGAAGTAGTTGCTACTTTTCTTACATTTTAAAAAGCCATCTGTTATAGAACTCTGGCTAGGAGACCAAAAGAAAATGTAATCTTTGGGCACAATGGTGTTAAATGCATCAGGCTTTTAATTGAACAAGAGAAGGAGAAGAGACCAGCATAAGTTTAGACACAGTAATGTATCAAGGGGATAGCTGGTGAAGTCAAATAAGCATCTGAAACCTATGGAAACCAATGGTACCCATGTTTGTTTTAATTATTTATGTGTTTGTTTTAATGATTTATGTGCCACCTTGAGTTTCTTCCCCAGGAAAAAGGCAGCATTAAAATGAATTGCATTGGTTTTGCACTCCATTAAGGTTCTGTATTTCCAGCTCCTCTTCATTTTTGCTTCACAACATACTTAAATCTGTATAAGCCCAAACAAAATACAAAAACAGAAGAATCAGGTTTTCCTTGTCTCCCTTCTGCTGGGATCTTCCATTACATCAGAAGGCTGCTTTGAAGGGTTTCCCAGCGGGTTTCAAGGGTGTACAACTGGGATGAAGAAGATTGGCACTTTCAGAGAAAAAGTGGAATCCAGCAATAGTGCACCAATACAGTATGTGGAATTACCAGCTTTAAACTGAAATTAACCAGAGTACTGGACTCTGATTAATTTTTGCACATCTTCTTCATTTTTCTTTTTTTTTTCTGATTTACTTCACCTTTTCTGTGAAGTATGATACACAAATAATATATACTGCAAAATGAGATTTTCCTTCTCCTTCCCTTTTGCTTTATGCAGTCTTACTGAGTGGGTATCCACCTGTCTAATTTCTACTCAATTTACAGTCAAAAGGAATAAATGTTATAGTTAGGAAGGGGATAAGAGTTTTTCAATCCAGTTAACAATTTCTTTTATCTCTACAGCCTAACAATAATAATATGCATAATAAAGCAAATGCACAATTCCAAAAGAGTATCCAAAAGGTGCAATAAAATTAGTCTGTTTGATTCCCTACTTTGCAACCCGAAGGTGGGAATGCCTTGAGAACTTCCAGTTCCAGGGTAGTCACTTGTTTCTATCCCAAGCTCTTAAAACATATGAGATTACATTAATACCATAATTGGCCGGCACTAGTGGGTCTGTTTTAAGAAGTCACAGATGTCAAACATTGCATATCCTTTCCTGGAGGCATTATTCTGTAAGCTGTTGACTGAGAAGGAGTGAAACAAATCCTGAAATCCACACAGATAAAGATGCAAAGACAGGGAAGTAGTTCTGATAAGGGGTTGGCAGCTAGTATTCTAAGATAAAGGCAAAGGTTCCCCTTGACATTTAGTCCAGTCATGTCCGACTCTAGGGGGTGGTGCTCATCCCCGTTTCCCAGCCAGTGTTTGTCCGAAGACAGTTTCCATAGTCACGTGGCCAGCATGACTAGACACGGAACACCGTTACCTTCCCACTGAGGTGGTACCTATTTATCTACAGTACTCATATTTGCGTGCTTTCAAACTGCTACAGATATCTTCAGACAATGATATGTCACTCACTTTGAGAAGGGCTTGGCTTGGAGATTCCAAGGCTTTCTTTGGCCTTTCCTTCTGCTAAAAAAGATGCTGCATCAATGCTACCTGGGAGTCCTAGGTCTTCCTGGAAGGTGTAACCTTACTGTAACAGATTCCTTCTATTTGAAAGGTTGAACAAGCCATCAATGGAAATAAAATACAGCTGCCCTCTAGACCTCTTTTGCTGGATTGCAACTCTAAGAAAACTGCTCGGGGAATTCTGCAAGCCCAAAAAATCCAAATGGTACATCTCTATATATCGTAACTTTTCAAACCCAGAAAAATCTGTCAGGGGGGAAAAGCATGTGATCCTATAAATACTTGAGCATCATGTATATTACTGTAATTTGCTGTATATCAATTATTTTACAAATACATATATGTACATCCTGCACTGCCATGTCAAAACACATACAGAAGGAATTAAACATATTTATTTCTGAGAACACATTTAAACACTATACGACTGAAAAGCTGCTTTTGCTGCCGGTGGTGTTCAGAGATGGTCCTGGCAATCACCACATTTCATTCTGAATGTGCAAATCCATCTTTACTGTTATGTAATATGTTCAGGATCAACAAAAAAAAGAGCTGATAATCACCATAGTGAATGAAGCTGAGACTTAACACAGAGGGAGAGAAGAGATGAAAGGAAGAAAAAAATAGCACAATAGTTACAGACAAGCCCTAACTGATCAAGCATTCCTTGGACAACAGCATTTTTAAAAAAAACATATGTAGTATAGTATCAAATGACAAAACTGCAACAAGTAATGAATTCAAATACAGGCCAACTTACCATTTGTTTCACATAGAGTTTAAGAGCAGCTTATCTAAGAATGAGGCTAGAAAGCTACAGGCCAATCTCTCTAACAACTGCAGATGCCAAAATATTATCCAGTCCTTACTGCACATTTGGTGAAACGCCAGTCCACAATATTTTCCAGACTACATAAGTTCCACACCCAAGAGAGAGGAATAGACTAAAAATGCCTCCTAGTGAACATTAATCAGGAAATAGGGAAACATCCTCCACACATCTCCATTTGACATGGAGAAAGCCTTTAATGGAATGCACTGGGACTATCGGCACTGAGTGCAAGAACACAAAATAACTTTGTCAACTGGATCACAACCCTGTAGAAGCACCTCACAGCATGAGTGCTGAGCAATTCCTTTACCGGCACCACTGCTGACATCTCAAGGGGCACAAGGCAGGGCTTCCTCCTTTCCCCCAGTATTTGATACAACGCTGCAGCCATTGGCATATGCTGTTCAGCAAGATGTAAAGATTACCAGAATCCCTTTAAAGAATTATACGTTATGCACATCATATGCTGCTGCTAATAAGCAAACCCCACATCAGTATCCCATAACTAACAGACTCAATAAACAACTTTGGAAACATCTCAGGACACAGAATAATCTGAGACAAATCAACAGCTATATAAACAGGACAAATCCCCCTATATAGGCAGTGGCTGGAGCTGGCCAGTCAAATGAGTACAAGCACACTAAAAAAAACCTGTGTTTTCTGATCCACAAGAAAAAAGAATAGCAGTCCTAAACCTAGTCACATCACTAAAGAATGTATAATAGAAGATAAAGAATGAATGATGGAAACCATTGACAATTACATTATGGGGGGGAACATTGTTAAAATGAATACAATTCCTCACATTATGTACTAGCATGCAAAAGAACGTGTGTTTTTTTCTTCTGGCAGCAAGAATTCATGATTTTTATTTCTTTGTTTATTTTTAATGCATGGCAAGTTAGTTTAAGTGACAACAAAATTAAGTATGTTTATCTGTTTTTAAGTTTGCCTGGATAGCATGCCAATAAAGACAGACTGCTTGTTTAGACTAAAACTCTGCTAATAACATTTATGTATTACTGCAAAATACTAGTAAAGGTCAAAATAATGAGCTTTTCATGCAGGATAAAGATACTTTCATTAACAGCAAAAACTGTAGAGCTTTGTTTAGAATCACTGCTACAGAAGTATTTTTTAAAATCAACAATAGTATGATATTGGCAGATAGGAGCCAGGACTGCAAGTAGATAAACCTCAGTTTGTTGATAGAAGACAATGATATAAATGTAAATCGTTTAAGACAGAGTGCGCAGGCATAAGGAGAAAGCAACATGGACAACAGAAGAAACTATGGTAAAATAACTTAATTTTGTTGTCTGTGTATCAAAGTTATAATTGCCTAAGGCAATAAATTATTTTCTCTATATTTTACAAAGTAGCTAACATATGGTATCTTCTTCTGACCATATTTTTTATGATTATAATTTTTCCCTTTTTGGAGTGATAATGTTTTTTTTCCTATTAAATAAACATTAAATAAAAGCATATAAAATGTACCACTTTGGCTGATTCAATTTTCTATTCAGATATAGTAGAACAAAAAAGACAAAATGTCTAAAAATAACTAATCCATAGTGACTGATATATAACCTTATTTTTCTGCCAAAAAGAGGGATGGAGCAGTTATACAACCACATCTGGATGAATTTTCATTTTAAGATGCTAAGAAATTTCTGAGTTCCTTGCAAACAGCAAAATTCTCAACTCTGATAAGGAATGTCTGCCCAGGGAAGACTGTCTTCTGATACATTAGAGCTCACATGTCAGCAGGCTGCATGAGAGAGCTGAGGGTAGGGTGAAATGTTGGGACCTCAATCTGACAACAAACTGCTGGGCACAAAACAAGCCAAAAAATTAATTACAATTCAATTGTATCATGTACCAACTTGGTTTTGCCTGCAGAACAGCTGCCATACTATAGCAATACAGCTGTTCACTGCCATGGAATAAATACTGACACTGTAACCAGAGTGTCACAGAATTCCACCTTTCCAATAATTCATCCTCACTTGTGTAACTTGAAGACAGCCACTGTGATCACATTTATCTTTTCGCTCGAGTTGTACCATGAAAGAGGAATATTTTGTTTTATGCCTTAAGTGTACTTATACAACACAGCTTCTGCCACACACACGCATCCAAGACAACAAAACAAACAAAACAGGAGCCTACAATATGGTCCCAGCAGTAAAGCAAATTATTAATTTGCCAACTAAATTTAAAAAGAGGTACAGCTGAAGATAAAAATAAAAATCTTGACATACCTTATAGTTCCCACAAATCAGTCCAGCTCAGTTCCATACCAAGAGTTCCAATCACTGCAAGAGAGATAAAAATCACTTCAACAAATGGATACAGGAGGCTTCTTCCCCACTTAAAAGTAGTAATAAATATGTGGTTATACACATTTTAAAGTTCATATAAAAAGCCTACGCAAGATTCAGATTGCACCATGGGAGAGGGGGAAAAGTAGTAAAACAGACATGAGGAACAGGGACTTTAACAACACAAATATTTATTTATGGAAATTTTAAAACTCAAAAATTTATGTCAGTGAGTGTCAGGGATATAACCCACTGACAGTGAACTAAAATAACCCACCACAGGAAGTCCTGGTTCCATTTCTGGCTACCTGCTGATGGGCAGCAATTTCAACTTTTAATAAGAGGTCCTTATTGATGTTGCTTTTAAACTGTTTCTCTAATGCCACTGTTTCCATTCTGTTCTGGATTTTTACCGCTTAACATCTCAATGTTACTAAATTTTTATGATTTTTTAAAAATAATTTTTAAAGATTCTTAAGAAATAAAGTAGAAACAGTAGCCCCTATTCCCCTACGAGGATGGGGGAAATTTCACAAGGCCTCTGGAAATTGCCCCTCTCTCAGTTACAGGGAAATGTGAAGTACTGTGGGTTGGGTGGAGCCCAATGCACAATGATACCTTAGGGAGCTGCCTCAGTCTTTCCCATAAGCTACAAGCCAGGATACTTCACATACATAAGTAAAACACTTCACCTAAAATACTACAGATCAAGAATTCCGATTCAAAACTCTACAACTGACAAGCAGAAATGCACAGCTTGAAAAAATTAAAACAAGACAGAGACACAGATAGCCAGTACAAAACCACTAACTTGTAATCAGTGTTGTTGTTAAATGATTGGGAATCTGAAACATTTGCTGGTCTACAGCATTTTCCCAAATATTTTATCAATGGACCTGAAGCAACTTTCTGGATTCCCCCCATTATCTGTTATAAAAACGGACATAATTTGCCTCTGTTATTTGGTTTATAAATCTGAGCACAGCAGTTGTTTTTCCACCACTTTTTCTCTTGCAGCTATAGGTATGCCTATACTACAAGAAAAAAAAAACATTTTACAACTTGCTTTTCCCCTGAGAGCATAACTTCAGCTCCAAACCATGTAGAAGTCTTGTCTTGCTAATAAACTTCTCAAGTGAATGGAAATGTTTATACATCATTGTTTACACATCCAGGCCAAACTGCTGCTATTCCAGCAATTACAATAGGTTATCTGCCTTCACTAATAGTGACTCAGAGCTTAGGAGTAGTTGAGCAACATGGAAGGTCTCCAGCTGGCACTACAAAAATGCCTCTGATCTGAATATAACAACTGGGGCTTCACCCATCCCCCCTCCACAGCAATGAAAGATGTCTGCAACATACCTCTCCTATTACACATTTTAAAAGCCAAACTGTGTTAAAACAATAGACAAGAGGCTGGGGTCTTTCAAGCTGAAATACAATGGGGGGCAGGAATTTCCTGTTTTCAGTGGTATCTTTTATGACACAGACAAGTTTCTATATGGCATGTATCTTCAGGGATCAACTCCCTAAACTCAGCCTAATTTGATTTGCAAAGCTCTCTAACTTCCTTTTTGCATTTATAAGAAGTTTACAACTTTGAAGTGCATGCCACTTATTTGCATGTTCAGCAGAAGCCACTGCATGCTCTGAGCCCAAACACAAACCTCAAATTATTTCTTCCCTGCGCACAGATATGCCATTATATTATACCAGACGACCTTCTCATCTTTAAATCCAAAGCAACATCTTTAAAATGCCAAATATATCTTTGAAAATGCTGTCACCATGTCTCATCAGAAGACAAAGGCAAAACAGAACAGGGAGGAAATGCTCAGCAACACATTTCAAACTTTAATAACCCAGCAGGACTTCCACCACTGAACAGCCTTCAACTTCACTTTGAAGCTTTGCTCACCATCAGCATAAGAAAACTAGAAGGCTTCTGACACAGAAAAGTTAACAAAGATATAAAGCAAAGTAAAAAGTCAATGAAAAACTGTCATATCAAATTCTCTAACTTGGTTCCTAGACATCAGATTAAACCAGAAATAAACAAAATATGCACTGTGCATCCATTAGTGTCAAAAAACTAAAATATTGTTCTTCTAAACCAAGACAAAGACAAAAAAAAATCCACACAAACAAACAAAACCCCTAATAAATGAAGAAGTAATCTAGAGCTAGTCACTTCAAAGTTAAAACTTAAAATCACAGGATAAATATATGATTCACCTAAATGATTTAAATGTTTTTTTAACTGAGTCACAAATAAGGATGATAAATTAATGCTATCTACCATTAAGATCTTATAAAATATTTGCATAATAATGAACTTGATATACATATGAGAGGGGAACTCATTCTTTTCACAATCAATATTAAACATCATGCCATTCAATTATTAAAAGCTACTGTAGTTGGATGGACAGCTCAGTGAGTTAGATATCTGGCTGAGGAGCCAGAGGTTGAGAGTTCGATTCCCCAGCATGCCTCCTATGTGGCCTTAGGCAAGCTGCACAGTCCAGAGTGTATCCAGAAAAGGGCAATGGTAAACCACTTCTGAGTACCCTCTACCTGGAAACCTTGAAAAGGGTAGCCATAAGTCAGAATTTATATGATGCACTTGATGATGATTACTGTAGAGGTGGGCAAATTCTCAGGATTAGGGATTCCAAGACCTTTCGTTTACCACAAGCCTACTGCCTCCATCCATAATCCTGTAGTTCTGGCAGAAAACAAGGCATGTCAGCCATATTATAAAGCCAAATCACCAAGTTGGAGGAACTTACAGATTGCTGAAATAGCCAAAGAACAGAATACATGGGGCCCAAAGACCATGTGTGCCAACCTGTCTTTAGAGAATATTGTCCTTGCCAGTTTGAAAGAAACTGAAGTTCAGAGCAAAAGTTAGGTAACTCCTGGATAGTTTCCAGTGTTATGCTACTTTGTGCATCCCTGAGATATGCCCAAAATGAGAAACGAAAATGAATTTTATTAGGGGTTACTTTTGCTCTGTACTTGAAGAGCACGCAAAAGAAAGCACTGCAGAAATCATGTAGTCATGTATACAAGCAGAACAGAGGTCCCCAATCCCTGGACCACAACCCGGTGCCAGTCCTTGGCCTGAGCCGGACCAAGCCACGGAGACAGACCTCCCACCGCCAGTCCGTGGCCTGAGCTGGACCAAGCCGCGGAGACAGACCTCCCACCCTGCACCCCGCATGCACTCACCCCTGCACAGCTGGTTCACGCATGCGCGCGCTCCAGCTACCCGTGCAAGTGCCACACCACATTTGTGCATGCGCACAAACACAAGCACGCCCAGACAAGCGCCGCACCCAGACAAGCGCCATGCTGCCATTTGCGTATGCACACAAGCACACGCTCATTTGTGTGAGATAGCATGCACTTGTTTACACCCCGCATGCACTCACCCCTGCACAGCTGGTTCACGCATGCGCGCGCTCCAGCTACCCGTGCAAGTGCCACACCACATTTGTGCATGCGCACGAACACAAGCACGCCCAGACAAGTGCCGCGCCCAGACAAGCGTCATGCTGCCGTTTGCGTATGCACACAAGCACGCGCTCATTTGTGTGAGATAGCATGTGCTTGTTTATGCATGCGCATGAGCGCAGGGGGTGGCCTGCCTTCCTCAGCCTGTCTGCGGGATGAAAAAGGTTGTGGACCCCTGCTATAGAAGACCAACTCAGCTTTCAGAATTACATATATACAGCACAATACTGTACATGTCTACTTTAACATTGTATTAAGTTTAATAGGCAAGTAAGCCTTAACTAAAGCAGTTGCATTTAAAATATGAAAAGTTTTAAATTAATATAAACCGCAAAAATACTGTAATCACAAATAACGAATTATCATTCATCTCTGAAGCCCAATGATTCAATAAAATGGAACAGTGAAGTAAAGGATTTATTTGATTGGAAATAAAACCCTAGAGAAAAATAGACAATGCAGATTATTTATAGAAATCAAGGGTGATGTGTTTGCCTACTGATCCCTATTTTTAAGACTGTATGCATGCAGAGTACTTTATTCCCCACTCTCCAAAATCAAATTCTGTTCTTTACTGTGCTTTTGCACAGACAAACAGACTATACCATGTTTCCCTGAAAGTAAGGCAGGGTCTTATATTAATTTTTGCTCCAAAAATGCATTAGGGTTTATTTTCAGGGGATGTTTTATTTTACAGTCATGTCATCTTCTTCTAGTTGCTGCACAATGGTGGAGGGTGGGGTTTCACTTAACTGGGGCTTATTTTGGGGGGTAGGGCTTATATTACGAGCATTCTGAAAAATCATACTAGGGCTTATTTTAAGGTTAGGTCTTATTTTCAAGGAAACAGGGTGCTAGGGAGAGAGGATAGGGTGGGGGAGAAAATATTCTATTGAGAGAGGTGTTCTATCTCTTTGTTTCCTAACCTCTGCATATCTGCAAACCATTTCCTTTTGAGATAAAAAAGACAAATAAAAATGCTTTGCTGCAAACGTGTCTCTGAAATTCAAGCCATCTGACTACCTATAAGCAGGCAATGCATTCAAAGACAATTTCCAACAGCCTTGAAACAGGTGGAGGACCTCACCAATGCAATAAATAAAACTTCATGAGAACTATGAGATACTGGATAAAATACAATTGGACAGCTATGTGCACACACAAAGAATTATGGAAGCTACTGCAATTAATTGAAATTGGCTATTAATTGTAGCCTGGCAACACAACCAACATGTAAACAGCACTCTACCAATTCACCACAACAATTTCCATAATAAACTTTCATACCCATGTAGATATACAACAGGAATCTGGCCAAAGCAAACAAAGGGGCAACTAACACTGTCAAAATATCAATATGCATTTATCACATCTTTAATTCAGAAAATTTAATCAGACCCTAAACGAAGGCACAGCACAGCATAAGGTTGATAGTTCTGAACCAGGAAGAAAGGAAATGAGAAGTTCTTGTG